AGAGCAATTATTGAATTCATATAATATATATAACGAAGTCAGTTGTGACATTTTTCTAGTGAGGCCCAACATTCTAAATAAATTTTGTCAAAAGTTTCTCTATTTTTCGGTCGTCAAACTTGAGGTCGACATTGGCAGTTAAGAAAAAAAAATATTTATAATTATCACTTGACTGATATGTGATAGAATGAACTGCATCACTACATGATTTTTGATGAGTTTTGAGTTGATTTGAGTTTTAATCGTACGGATGCTTTAATTGGATTTTGTTCTCGAAAACTTAAGGGAAATGTCGGGACGATATTTTCTTAAGGTGGGTAGATTGTAATAACCCGTATTTTGACTTTGCTATTTTCTTTTTTGAGATATTATAACTCCAAATCGCAAACCATCTTTGTTATGGTGTTGTTATTATAATATTTTACTTACATAAATTTTTTCGTAATATTTGGGTACTAGTAAAAATCCTTATGAAGAAATTGGTACATATCAGTACAAATAAGTATTTTAGGATTGTCAGATGTCCGATTTGCAAACAAATTTCACATCTATTTTTTAAAATAAAATGATTTATTTTATAGATATTTTTTGTAATTTTTGAAGTCTTAAAATAATTCATTTAAATTTTAAACCTTTTTCTGATCAAATTTGTGTTTTCATTATAAAAAAATTTGAATAACTTTGTATTGACAAAATTTTTATCGTGGAACTTTTTGTATATTATAGAGATCATGATTATAAGTATTTTAAATATTTATTTGAAATTTTTTACTAGGTAATTTAGAAATACAATATTTTTTGTCTACCAAAAAATTTATTTCGGCATCTAAAAAAAATAATATAGTACAATTAAAGTTTTAAAATATTATATTATATAATTCCTGGTTTTTTGATAATTTAAAAATATAAAATATTATATTATATAATTCCTGGTTTTTTGATAATTTAAAAATATACATTTTTTGCATAATAGAATTATTCTTTGTTTTCTATCGTTATGACATTTTAGCTTCTTCTTAACTAAGCTCAATTATGCATTATTTGTTGTAATGCATTGAAAATGGATATAGATATGTGCTTGAGTAATAGTTGTTCATTATTATTATTATAGTATTATGATAATAATATGCGTATGTGAAACAAATAAGTAAAGATTGGTTGACCCATTAGTTGGAGACTGATTTATCTATACAGGATGGTGGGCCTACGAGATTTTCTTTAAATATTATGATTTGTTTTTATCCTCTACTAATTTACATGATACATTATTTGGGAGTTATAAGGAAATTATTATTATACCAATGAACAAAGAGTGACAACTATATTTAATGAGTCAATGGTTTACTAACATTAATACTAATACTACGAATTTATTATTACAGTTAGATTTACTATTATTGCATTATTTTATTGCTTATACCACTAGATTTTTACTGATATAGATACTGATACTATTTGATACTACTAATTCACTGTACAATAAGCATATGACATACTAAGCATGTGGTATGCATGATTTATTGAGCATGTGATTGAGATATTGAGTATGTGATTGAAATATTTATTTGAAACTGATATAGAATAATTGTATAGTATGTGTACATTCATATATGATTTTACTATATTGATTTGATTTCAATAGTCTTTAATGATGTTTTGATTTGATATTTTATTTGATTTCTTTATTGATTGGTATATATTACAGATATGAAAATTACTTTATAGATTTGACAGTCATACTAATTTATTAGTTTTTGTACTGAAATTTTTATTATTTATAGATTATACTACAACTGCATGTTGATTTTATTATTTTTACACTAATTCAATGATCATATGAATGTAACTGCTATGACTTGATCCCTGGCATGCATATTGCTTATTTGTCGTGCTTTGAATTTAGTTATAGGTTTTGGTTACCTATTGAACTTTTTAAGCTCATTATATGTGGTTAAATGATTTCAGATCAGGGGATAGGAGAGCAGAAGTGTGAGGCTATTCAGAATTTTTTAGGTTCTATTTCTTTTTATTTTTCTTTTGTACTCAGGACAGAATAATTATGATATAATTGTGTATGATTTTTTTGGAATAATGAGA